GCTTTAACATCCTTATGATAATTTTTCGACTCTGCAGTCGCACTAAAGAGAGGCGAAATATATTCACAAGCGGCGACACAAAAAGCAACGCTGCGAGAGGCCCGGTTGGCCCCGAGGCGCGATTTTAACGATCATTCGCACGGTTTCTGAGTTACGATCGCGATTCGCGTCCTTGCTTGATATCATTTCCCGTTTCCTCGATTACGACGAGCGATCCCGACTATCGCGCGATCCCTGAGATTGCAATTTTCAGGAATAGCGGGCGGGCAGGTTGCATCTCGGGAGACGCGAGACGAGCTGCCTCGTAAAAATCGCTCTCGCGACCCCCGGGGGCGGGAGGTCGGAAGCGAGAGACAGCGACGGACCTAAGGTGAGATGAGAAGAAGGAAATGAGCGTGGTACAAGAGAGAAAGAGAGAGAGAGAGAGAGAGAAAGGGTATTGCAGAAGCAATATAAAGGGGCAATAAAATCACGACAGCCAACAATACGGGTAGACTTGGCTCACCGCCTTCAGTTTCACCTTATCCTCTCGCGTTCTCCACTTCTCTTCTCGCCCCTCTTCCGCTTCCCCACCGGTACCGGGGATGTGCAACCTGGGTCAATTTTATTTGCCCGTGCTTCGTGTAGGTAACTCGGATGCGAAAGTTTTGAAATTTCAACTTTGCGAGGAGCTACGGCGGAGCCCATCGGGAAATCGACCTCCATCGGAGTTCGATTTCCCGATGCGGGGAAATTTGGAAAACAGCGCAGCCACTCTTGGCAACTTCGCACCGTGTTTACTCGCGAAACGGATTTACATCCGATCTGGGAAAGCGGGGAAATGGTTAAAACGAGGTGGATGATCATTTTCGAGGAAACAAATAAAGTGCGCGAGTTCAACAGGTTCGCCAACATTCGACGGAATAATAATCCGAACGTTATCAAATTTAACAGCGTCAGTGTTTCCTTGACCACACCTGGCATTTTTAATAATACAGAAAATTTATTGCGAAAAATATTACCTCAGCCAGGGTTTGAACCTGGACCTCCCCCCTACACTCTAGACGGGCGTCTCACCAATTCGACCGCCGAGGCATATGATAATATTTGTCGCAATAACAGTATCAAGATGTTGTCTACGCGTCTATTTCGACTTTTTTTGAAATGCCAGATATGGTCAAGAAAACACTGACGTTGTTAAATATCGCTGGCGACATTGAAGAATTCTTATTAGTTGACTGTCTTTGTTTTCTCTTTGGTACCGGTACGTGTAAAAAGATCTTTAAAATGACAGTCGAATAATTGGAAAAGCTACTTGCAATTCTAAAATTTGACTTTTTCTATATCCGCGAATGTGCCGTTATCTAAATTAAAGCAGCCACTATATCTCGCTCGCTAGTATAAAAGTATATCTAACGATCGCAGCTAGTTATAAAATATAATTTTTCACGAGTGCTAAATTCATATCCATTTAACGTACCTGGAAAAGCCAGTTAGCACTGACGTTAATAGAGCGCATGAATTACATTAGATTACGAATAAAAATGATTAATTTTCTAGTTTAATTAGCACTGTAAAAAGCGAAAGGCGATCATCGATGCGCGCGCGGAGCGCGCCATTAATTTCGAGTCTCGTCACACAACAACTTCCTACGAGACTACTGTCCGTTCTGAGGAATCGTTAAAGAGCAAAAGGAAGAAGCTATTAAATAGACAGTATGTGCAGAACAGGCGCCACTGTCTCGGCACGAGAGCATTGAAATCATTGGAACACGAGGCACGATCGCTCAAGCGCCCGCTACACGCTATTATGCGTTAATGACGAGCTGGCTAACTGACTCGTAAGTGCACGTTATAGATCACTACGCGTATCGTAGCTGCAACATTTACGACGTCGCCGGCAAGGAGAGAAAAGTAAAAGCATTGATGCAAATATTACTCTCTTGAAAAATTGGCAAATTAATAAAAAAAGGAAATCTTGTTAAAAAAAAACTTGCCCTCTCTCTCTCAAAGAGTAATTAGCTAATAAGTTTAGGCTTAAGTGTAGTTGTAAGTATAAATTTAAGTTTAGGTTAAGAGGGGTATTTAAAATAAGTGGTGTATGTGGAGATATGTATAAGATTGTAACCCTAAGGGGAGCAATAAAGATTATAATAAAAAAATGAAGAATGCGCGAAATTTTCCTTTAACAATATCACCTCGTTTGTTAAGGGGATGCTGGAGTGATTCTGCACTTTTGGCACCTTTGGCTCCTAGGAGTCTATTCGCTCGACTAAGTTATAGGTTAGGTAAAAAGTGAATAGATTTTTTGTTAGGCTTCTAAACTTAATTTCAATGGTACCATGCTGTTCTCTGATTTAGTCCGAACAGTGGAACGCTGTCGGTTCGTACACAAACGCCACACAATTTGTATATTGCACAAATGTTTTCACGAATCGACAGTTCGAGGAGCAAAAGATGCCAAAAGTGCCGAATCACTCCAGCATTCCCTTAACAACGGTCGGTATCAGATCGTAGTGAAAGAGCGCAAGATGTTTTTATATCCAGTGGAAAATATTTTAATACACATTGAAAGTCGATACCAGCTGCCTTTCAAAGGGCTCGCATGCAGGTAGGTGCGACATTCACTTTTGATATGTGAAATAATTGGGAGCGCGAGGATGTTAAACGAAGATAAAAGGGCAGATCTGTATGCCGCATGTTTAATTCGACCGCGCCGATTGCGACTTGAATCCCCGTTCGGGTATCCCGATGATTAGCCGGCGTCACCGCCGCCGCCCCGAAACGCTATTAAAACTCGCGTAAGCCTAAAGCCGGCTATGGGCTGCGCTCGCTCGCTTGCTGAAAGCCCGGGCTTATTATATGCATGGATAGCGGAGCATCCGGTTAATAACAGTCCCATTCGCTTTGAATAATTTGCCGGTGTTCCGAAGTCCGGCGCCAAGCGGAGGGACCTCCCACGAGCGTTCTCTCCCCGTCCCGTCCAGAAAACTTTCGATTCTCGACGCACATCGTTATATTAAGCGTAGTTCGTAATTAGCCGCCGCTAATAACTCACGCGTATTCGCGCGCTTTGTGCGCGCGCGCACACAGGAGCGGAGAACGAGCGGGAGAACGTAGGAGAGAAAGGGGGAAGGAAAGGTGAAGACGGGATGTACGAGCGGGCGACTCCCCTCCCCCTCCCACCTCAAGAATGCCATTGTGCTTTACAATATCCACGAGCTATGAGCAAGGTTATTAAAGGGCTGAGGTCGCGCCTAAGGTTAAGGGGAAAAGACGGCTGTGACCGCGCAGCCCTTAGAAAGAGAAAGAGCTTTCTCCTCGCGCGTAAACCACATGACATCCGCGCCTGCTCGCGCTTCCTCGCGCGCGCAAGCACGCCGTGTGTGCCGTGCTTTTCATATATACGGGAACGTCGAAAATACGCGTGCCGAGATCAAAGCGCGAGACCTAACCAGGAAGGATAGTCCCGTGCGCGCGCTCTCTTCAGGGACGGTGGTTTGGCGTTTACGATGAAAACGCGCTTTATAAGACCAACGAGTCAGGCACCTGCTCGAGGGAGGAAGAAACGACGCGAGACTTGAAGCTGAATGTCATTCCACGGCCGGCTGCGCTCGCGTAATCGCGATTATCCGCGTTAAAACGCGGAGGAGCGTGCGCGAGAGATGCGCGTATGTAATAGCGAATTCGGTTGGTTGCACTAGCGCGCACTGAGTGCGCACTAGGCCTTGTTTCCAGTCAATTGTTATATTTAAAGATCATCTTAAATACCTCTTGCAATATTTCTTACCCAGACAAATGGTCTGTACAACGTTTACACGGATCACTTTTCGACTAAATACTCTTTGAACGTGTATTCAAGACAAAGTTAAATATAAGAACTGGCTATAAACAGGCCTTAGTGTGCACTCAGTGCGCACTAGTGCAAGCAACCGAATTCGCTATAAGACCACGAGGGGCACAATGGAGTACGCGTGCTCGTTCGACACGGGGTTCTCGCGGGGAAAGTACAAGCGTTGAGAAAGCTCTTGCGCGCGCCCAAAATTTTGCTCCATTATTCGCCGATGCCATTACGCCTCGCAGTTCTTGTCAATTAAAGTTGGGTTTGAGAGCGCTCGGCTGAGCCGGAGCTTAGAGTTCGCAAATTTCTCGAGTAAACAGGCTGTCGATTCGCGTAATAAATAATGCTCCTGCTAGCGTATCGCGAGCAGCGCTTCGATTGCGCTTCACGCTCCAAGAGGCAGAGCCGATAGCGATGAAAAATGTCTCGACTTTTTACGTTTAAACGCGTAGATACGTATTCCGCTAACGGAATACGAGATCCGTACGCGCGGTTATGGTCTTGTAAATCGATCGCGCTTCGCGCGCGACACGGGACGAGAGTGTAAATTTCTCCGAACAAACAAAAATCGCGTAATGGCCGCAATAAACTTTCGCGCGATCGAACCGCCTCGGTAAAATTCCGTCTTTTCATTCTTGTTTATTAACCATCAAGCGACGTCGCGCGTCGTTACGCCGACGTGTCGGAGATATCAAAAGTCTTTAAAAACAAGTGGAATTGATCGAGAAAGGGGTATATGATTCAGCCGAGCGTTCGGAATTTTCGTTTCACGCTCTTAAAACTCGCGTTGGATGTCGATATTATTTCTCATTTTTATTTAAAGGCGTACTCGTCAATATTTTGTGAAACGTAGAAAGAAGAAAACCGCAATAAATCAATACCGAATAAACGCTTAATGCAATTTCAAAATTTCAAAATTATCTGCGAATAATATAATTCACTTCCAAACTTTCGCGGGTGGAATTGTCGAAAAATAAAAAATGACGATGCAAAGTTGAAAAGAAAGCACAGGTTTGCACGTGGACGTAATTCTTCGCGCTTCCCCCCCCTCAAATCCCCAATATTTCAAAGAGGAAATACGCGCGGTGCCCGAGCCGAGGTTCGCGATGCAAGAGTATCGGGGTATCACGGTAACTGGGACGCTCGTGTCAGACGCGTCAGCAGGTGCGTCGTCAGCACGCTATCGTGACGTGCTATCGTACTCGCTTAGATTGAACGAACACTGACCTTGCGAAGAAGGCCGCGGCTGCGCTGGCCTGCGCCGGCGTCCCAGGCACCCCGCTCACGTTGTACGAGTACTTGGTCTCCTGGTACACCTGGTACACGTTCGGCTTCGAGTGCGACGATCTGTGGTAGTAGTGGTCGCCGCCGTGATGACCCTTCTCCGCCTGCTGCTGCTGCTGCTGCTGCTGACCGATCTTGGCCAGGCTGTAGGCCTGCGCCGCGGACGAGGACGGCGCCTTGCCGTGACACTTGTCGCCCTTCTCGCACGAGGTGGGCGCGTGAACGAGATGCGACTTCTCGTGCGCGGACACCAGCGCGGACACCGGCTGCTTGTCCACGGTACCGTAAGCCTTCAAGTCGGAGTAGCCCTTCAGCTCGCCGTAGTAGCGCAGATTCTCGACCTTGTAACCGTGCCCGGTGTCGTGGCTCTTGGTCTTGCCGAGCTCGTGCTTGCTGTAGCCGACCTCCTGCGCGGGGGTCGATTTCATTCTCTCCGCGCCGCACTTGCTGACCGCCGTTTCGCCCCCGCCGCTGCCGCCGCCACCGCCGCCGCCGCCGCCGTGCAGAGCGGCCTTCCCCGAGAGCTTCTCGATCTTCAGCATGGATCTCTCGCTCGGGCGACCTTGAACCGCGTCGCCGCTGCCGCCCCGACTCGACTCCGACCCGGTGCCCTTGTACTTGTCGGACGGCGTTGTTACGTCGCCGTACGAGCCGCTACAAGTGTTTGGGAGGACATTACCGACGATACCACTAGTAACGTTGCCACCACCGATTCCGCGGATCTGATGATGCTGCTGATGATGGTGATGATGATGATGATGATGACCCTTCGGCGGCTCCACGTGACACCGGGAATCGCAGTCGACGCCGGTCTCCTGCAACAGGTTCTCCTTGCTGTTGTTGTTATTGTTGTTGTTGTTGCCGTTGCCGCGCACGTCGCACGCCTTGTGGGAGGGCCGTTGTCGTGCGACCGCGGCGCGTGTTACTTCTCGCGCGGTCGGCGTGATACTGGCCAGATTAGAGGGCGTCTCGGCGCCATGAGTGCCGGTGTTCCCCCTTCCTGCGCTGGAATTACCGCCACCGCCACCACCGCTGACGCCGCCACCCCCGCCCCCGCCGCCGCCGCCGCCGCCGCCACCTTGTCGTCTGCCTCTCTCCTCCTGTCAAATGATAACGTAACATAGTAGTCAGCGTGTAGTACTACGATTCACGTACGTTAACACACCGGCTGTCGCCGCGTGAGCCAGCGGGACAAAACCGGGAGCGCTACTAATGAGAGCGGCTGAACGGTCCGTTTAGAGTCAGAGAAAATTGTCTTTATTTATACGAAAGCAATTATTCGCAATTTACTCCAGAATTCGCGCTCTCGGTCTTGCCGTGACAATTTAATTCGCCAAAGCAGTCTCGTGGTGGAAAAAACAATCGTGTACAATTTCACAATGTAATTGTTTTATTATTGCTCCGATTTTTATAATCGATCGGAGCGAGGTGCTCTCGGAGTAGCCCGTGTCCTTACAGGTTTCATCGAGCGGGCGAGAATTCCCTATATGTTACGGCTTACCTGGATCCTCTTAAAGTCGTCCTGCCGTCTGGGCACCTCGGCGTACTTGGGCGGATCGACGTGATACTTGGGCGGCGGTTCCGATTTCAACGGGGTCTCCTGGTAGCGCGGCGGCCTGTCGAACTGTCGATACTTGGGCGGATCGATGTACGGATTATTCCGGTACCCGTAGTAATTCGGCAGTTGACACTCCGTGAGATCCGACTGCGATCGGTTCAGCTGATGGCAGTCGGTCGTCGGCGCGTTCGCCAGCGTCTTCTGCTGCTCCTGATGACTCTGCCTGCCGACGTGCCTCGCAGCTTGCGGCCTCTCCTGACCATCGGCGTGGGACTTGTCGTGGGTCTTGATGCCCTTATCCTTGCACGCCTCGGGCTTATCCCTCCTCTCCTGACCGGACGCGAGTCCGTCGATCTCGTAGAAGATCAGCTCCTTCTTCAGCGACTTCTGGTGCGACTTGTCGTGTTGCCGTGGATTTTCCGATTTCACGGGCGGGTCTATCTGATAGAACGTGAGCTCGCGGGAATCCTGAGACTTGGAACGTGTCTCCTGGGACGAGTGATGCTGCCGCTCCGGCTGAGAATGGCTACGCGCGTATCGCTGATCGAGTCTCGAGCCATCCTGATGCTTCATTCGCGCGAATCTATCGTTAGCGCCGAGCTTATGTCCGTACTCGAGATACTCGTCGCCATATTTGAAAAAGTGCCGCGGTTTATACTTCTCTTCAAATTGCGAGTAATTATAGGTATTGAAACCGACCTGATTAAAATTCCTGCTGAGATTTGTAGAGTCGTAATCGGTCGAGGTCACCGCTTCCATATTTATCTGGAACAGAACGGAGCGAAACGTTAACAGGGTACAAAAGTCTCAAGATTTTTATCACGCGTTGAAGTTTTTATTATAATATAATGCTAATGTCGCTGCTTTAAGTTTACAATCGGCATAGCTTCCAAGGGAAACGAGATGCTGGTGATAACGGATAAAGCGTGAGACGAGTATTCTTGAAGAATTCCACGCAAAACGCACGAGTGGATTCGAGAGAGACAAAGAGGAGCAAGAAGCAGAACTGGAGGCAGCGGCCATAAATCGGGGAAGACCGTCTTCTTAAATGCTGGAGTATTTAGCACGAAACAAAAACCCACCGTGAGATAAATAAAATCTGACACTGGGAAGGCGTATCGTCGCTATCCACCACGTCGTGTCCTGAATAAAGCCTCGCTCGCTCCGACGAGGGAGACAAAAATGATGCGCAAGAACCCCATCGGAACAGACCGAGAGGGTTGAAGGAGACTCGAGGCTTGTGTCGAAAATCGAGCCGAGGAAACCGGTTCGCACTTCGAAACCCGAGGATCGATCGGTACACGTGTACATAGTACGTGTCGGAAATGTTCGCACGCGAACAATTGTTTCAACATTTTGGAATTTATGCTCGCTTCACAAAAATTAAATTTCATTGTGAAATTCAGACATGTTCTAAGCTGACGTCAATCCATTTCATGTGTCGTATTTTCTTCAGAAATTTTAAATTTATAGAATTCTCTACAGTGCGGGGAGGGGGGTATTGAATGCTAAAAAGCATTTAAAATAATTAGAAATCGTTTATCGATTTTAATATGGGAATTTACTGACGACAATAATTCCGTCTAAATGAAACCGTTATGTCCGAAAAGAAACCGGCGCGCAGGACAAGGTGGAAAACGGTATATGAATTCACATTTTAGATTACAATTATTGGTTTACCAACATCTTGCTCGAACCTAAGGGCGTTCTCCCTTGTTTGATTTATATCACGATGGTCCTATTGAACTTTATTTGTTTAAAATTTATATATTTATAATATTTATATATATAATAATAATCTTTATTGATACCACACACGCCACTTATCCTAGATACTCCTCTTAACCTAAACCTAAACTTAAACTTCTACTTAAAATTAAACTTCAACCTAACTAATTAACTAATTATTCTTTCAAAGAATATTTCTTCTTCAAAGAATATTTATATGTATATTTTTATATATTTAAACATTGTTACATCTTAACTGTAGGTTTTGCTTATGTACGTAACGTAAATATTTAAAATTCTACGAGTATAATACACTGAAGATGACCTGATTTGAGGTCGAAATGTATGTATTATTTTTATAAATAGAATTTTTTAACACGTACACCAGTGTCTGGTTCGTTAGCTCCTTTGAACGTTATTTTATTTTATGTAATTATTTATTTATAAAACAGAAAATTAAAAATTTAGCGCTATTTCTTTTTTGGTACTAAATCAATTTTTTACCACGGGATACTTTTACAAAAATTTTTTCTATTAAAATCCATCAAAAGCTTATCTTTAATATGAGAAAGCGTGAAATGTCATTTTCATTCTTATGTTTTAACACGTATTGCACAAGTTTCTTGATTTTTATTCGCTTGCAAGTTAAAAGTGAGTAACAGTACAAACGCTGATTCTATTACTGTCGCAAGAAAACTTGTTCAAATTGATGAAAGAGCTCGTAGATAAAGACGAGCGTGAGGAAGCTGGGACACCCTATATATACGCAGGACCGCCTTCAAAACCGATGTATCCGAGATCACATCCGATTTCGCTTTCTTTTCGTGCGAACCCTTATCCAGAACGCTGCAAGGCACGATGAACAACCGAGATGCCCGGGCGCGATTAGCCGCGGCGACTTCGCGAAAGTCGTCTCGCTAAAATAACGTCCTTGTCCCTGTGCACGTTTTACATATATAACAAGAGGAATCGCTCGATCCGGGGACCAGATTGGTCGCACGAGTTAAAGGGGGAAAAAACTGATAAAATATTGATCCCAACCTTCGCGCAGAACAATGACGACTGGCGAGCAATCGTCTAATCTGGTTTCCACGGGTCACCCAGTACGTACCCGGCACTTAATTCGCCTCGCGAATCGGGAATACCCCCGCAGGGCCGCGGTTATATATTACAGCTGGTAATGAAGACTCTCCACGGCAAGCGAGCAGCGAGCTACCGACGACACCTTATTTATCGCTTCACCTCAAATATACAATTAACATGTTGAGAAGGCGTCCGGAGATAGCGGCATATCACGCGTTACGCCGACGTCTCTCTCTTTCTCTCTTCGTTTTCTCCTCTTCCCTCCTCCTTCCCTTCCTGCCAATTTCTTCAACCCCTTTCCCGACAAGGAAAACGCGAACGGCGAGACTGACTCGCGCTCGCGCGCCTTTCACTTTTATTATCGTGGAGCTCGTTAGAGCGACCGTTCCAAGAATGTTAACCCGGAATTCGTCGCCAGAGGAAATTTTATGTTCCCCTATTTTTACGGAACTTCGCTCGTAATGCGAAAATGTGGCGACGGCGTCTACGGTAAATCCTAATGGAGTATGACGTAATTAATATACTCATTCTTCAATTTGTCTAGCATTTAGCTCACGTTATTACCTTGCAAAATGATAAACTCCATTTTCCACGCTATTTAAACTTCATTCTTGGTTGTTGGGAATATATTCAGCGCGAATGCTGTGTACAATAATTTAGCGGTCTAATTATTTGGAAAATCAGATTTTGTTTAATTCATCGTTCCAACGTATTTACACACGGAGATATATGTTTTTTTTTCCACATTTGCTCATGAACGCACGGGCATATGTATGCATCGGAGATAAATACAACTACTGTAAACATCGCCGATTTAAAATTTATAACAGACAAACATATAAACGAATAAAACGTGCCGTCGTATCAATAACAGTGAGTTTTCGGCTATCCATCCTGGTAGATTATTGGATCCTGCTTATCGTACATAAATCCAGTGACAGATATAAAAAATATTGTACGACACGTCGAAATAAAATATTGTCGTCGCATGTCGAATCTGCCGTATGCGCGATTTCTCGACGCAATAAAAAAATACTCGTTACTCGACTCGTGATGGAATGTTCCGAATAAATGCATGATGCGCCATTGACCCCGATGCAAAGACGCCATTTTTTCACGATGATGTCGGATGACGTGCAGCATTATTAAATATCATTAAAGAGAAACGTTGTTGGGAATTACGAGAAGTTGTATGATGCATTACGTCGAATAAATTTCACGCGAATATGTATGAGCGTGAAATCTTTAAATCGGGAGAAAAAGAGAGATTTACTTTGATGTTCTCATTCCTCTCGGTCGGATTATATTAAAACCTATAATCTATAATATATCTACAAGTTACTTTCTATTTCTACCTATCATTCAATTTTTGTGGTACACGGGGAGAATTTTCTCTTAAAATTTATCCTGAAAATCATGTAATCGTGAGACAACATGGCATTTTGAAGAACTGTACGAGAGTTTTTTTAAATTTTACCATACATTCTACTAGTAAAATATAGAGAAAAGTCCTCTCTATTATGAGATAGGTTTTTAATATGAGATAGCAGGTTTTCAACACCCAAATTCAATCACAAATCTTTTTTCGCACCGATTACACAATTTAACAATGAATTTTTCACTAAACAGATTTCGCTCCAAGATCAATAAATTCATAGTGGAATCAACTGACGATGCCTATTAATTTAACAAAAACCCTGCTATCCCACATTAAGATCCTATCGCACGTAATAGGAGACTTTCTCTAGAGTAAAATTTCAAAAAATTCATATAAAATGCTTCGAAATGCTAAGTTGTCCAACGATTACAAAATTTTCAAGATAAATTTTAAGAAAAAATTCCCTCCGTGTACGATACCACATTTTTACAATCATGATACATATATTTGTGTATTACTAAACCGATTAATATAAAATTAACTAGTGATCAAAATAACTACATTCTGTGGCATTTGTAATCTTTCGTTAAAGAGCTACAAACTTTTTCAAGTGTTATATCTTGGACTATCCCCCGTTAAGTGTCGGAATGAGTTCATTTGTCCAATGTGATTTTTGCGGGCACGAGCCACGTTGGCACAATTGATAAATGCACTCGACATTCATCTTCATCACTCATTTACGAGCATAGCGGATATGTTGTGATGGTAATGAAAGCATAGCAAACGATCGCGCGTTGCAACCTCAACCTATAACTCATCTCGTCGCATAATTTGGCAAGCCTAACTTCCCCGTAGGGTGTCGAAGCGATTCGCGTACGCTCGGATCGTCATAAATATTAATAGAATCTTCTTTTGGCAGGTACCACTGCGGAAGGAGATAATCGTGTTGTTTACGCTGCCAATAACAAGCTCGGTCGAACGTTGGACCTCACTCCCATGCGGAGCGAGGGCTCGTTTCGAAACGGGGCCCCATAATTACGGGTGCCGCTAAGATTCTCCCGGTGCAGTCGGTACCCTGTTACGAAGTGTCCGAAATAACCTCGTTTCTCATTAGATCAACGCGTGTGTGAAAATTACAGCTATCAACGAGATTAATCGAGCCAGTGTACCTATTTTACGCGGAACCATGTTAATGAAAAAATTACATCGGCAAGACTCGAGCATTACGACTAATACTTTATTATAATTTATACCGATAATTAATGGCATGCTTGAGAAAAGTATTACTCCTGTTACTTTAGTGGAATTTTAATAGAGGTAAATTTAGGTCACGTACATTTAACGTTCGCGAAGAATAAAAATTGATTTTATATATTTCTAATATTATATTTTGTATTACGGTGTAATATTGTATAATAATAAAATATTTTATTTACATAGTCGTATAATAATAAAATGTCTTATTATATAATATATTTTGTCAAATAAAATTATTTATTCTCCTGTAAACCTTCCTTAATCGACTTAAGTATAGATAATTGCGTCATTTTAAAATCTAATATGCTCGATCCAACTA